TTGCGGCTAAGTGCTCACAGGGTGAAAGACGTTTCCTTTTTATTGTCTCGTTACAGTAGAAGAGTTAATTTTTGACCCCGCAAAAAATTTCATTAAGAAGTTGAATCTCATATTTTTTCTGACCGAAACTATACCATTCTTCAGTTTACTAGTTCTTATTAATTGTCCACCGGATGGTCGATCTTCACCTATTCTGTTTATGTGGAATTCCCCCCAAAGATCTGGCTGAAGTATGACTGCAGTACTTTCATACTGAAGCCAGTTAATCGCGTACTGCGAGTTTCAAATACGATCACCATAATTCTCTTCCAATTTGTTGACCCGACACCGATTTTTCGAGGCGTTGAAGCATTCGCCATAAATAATGACGCCGCATGACATCAAAATCTGGGAGCATTCACTTCGCTCAAAGTTCCGGGGTCATTTAACGTAGAAACGACTTTACCTCCCAAAAAGTCCAACTGTACCGAATGGACAAATGAAATTACGAATTCAATATTGTCAGTATGCAAGTCTAGTCAAATGAGTGCTTAAAAGGCAATTTTTCCGGAGACGGCTGTAATTGGTCTAAACAGCGGAAGCAGCGTTTCTTCTGGGGACTTCCAGGGAGAATGCTTCGACCCGAATATTCGAAAATTTGATATTTATCAGATTTCTTGTTTCTTTTAAACTCTATAATCATCTCGAAAAATTCTTGTGACAGTATTTATGAAAAATGCCTCCCCTAGATTTAAAAAATGGGTCTGACACGGGAATATGGGCCTCTTTAGTGCGACAGGTGGCCTCGCACTAAATTTCATCGGGTTTCTATTTTCGTATCCCAACCATCCTAAGCCCAACGCTAACGCTAACCCTAACTCTAACCCCCTGGAATTGAGAGTTAGGCTATCCTTAATGCGGGGGGTTCATATTCTCCTGCCAAACTTGAAAACTCTTCAGCAGTCTTAACCGTTGACATAATTTACTCTGAAAAATTAAGGTCGTACAGCCAGAACGTTCGTAGTGCTTGGAATAGCGAAGCTTCCTGGCCCCGAGTAGCCGCTCGAAACAGCTGGGTGCTCTTTGTCTCTCCTTATGTTTCGGCGACCCAGTTTTCATCAAACTTGTTTTCCCTTGCCCGCACCATCCTCCCCCGCACCCCGCTGAAATAAATAAAAGCTCTTCGGATATTTTATCCTCCGCCTAAGTACTTTTGGATGTACTTTTGAGTAAGTTCAATTATAGGTACACGGTCGTTGTGATGCTATACGCCTCGGTGCTAGGAAAAATGATGTGCTTCGGCCCATCAACAACTTCTGAGCTAAGCTCAGTAGGTGGAACGAGAATCCGTAGCAAAGTCCCAAATCGTTGCTGATCCATTTTACGCATCCATTTCGGCAACTTTCGGAATTGTTCTGCGTTATATAGCGAGAAAATCGTCGTGGCTGATTGAGCCAACCTTTTTGTAACTGGCTAGACACAATTGATGGAGTCTCACATGTATTTCACCCCGGAAGATATTACTGCACTGATAAGTGGCAAGACGAGTAGGTGAAGGACGGTTAGTTAGTGCTTCCGGAACTTCGTCATCACCAGTTTAGGAGTTGAGGGCTACTTACAAGGTAAGAGAACGCTTGAGACGCCGGTTAAAACCTGTCGTGGCGCGCGTATGCACCCTCTAGCTTAACTTCATGCGATCTATACTTATAGCCCACTTCATCAATCGAAAGTTCGACCCTCTCAAGCGATGACGTCCACCGCATGTCTCACGGAGGAAGCAGAGCACCGTTGACCTGAGCGTGAATTGGTTTATAGTGGTGGCGGACTTGCGCAGCATCTACCGCACTCTCACCTCCTCCGCCCACCTTGCTCGGATGATGAGACAGTGTCTAAACGATAGGAGGTTGGGCACTGGCGCAGTGGCTGACGGGGCTAAATAGCCCGTCTGTGCGTGCCACACCCGATCTGATCCCTATAGCAGATGCCAGGGCGGCGCAGATTTCACATCTGTAAGAGTGCCATAAAGACCACACTGAGGATGAACCATTGCAGCCTGACTGTCAGTTCTGAGAGGACCGAATCATCCCGTCAGTTGATGGTCCTTAAAGCCACGACTCTTAAGGCCTCGGGATAGATTCAAGCCTGTCAGATTTATTATAATGAGAAATGCGTCGACGGGCCGAAGGAGTGGGTTTCCCACTCTCTCTGTCCCTCCTCTTCCATGTAGCAGTCATCCTTCTGTGGTTGCATGGCATATCAGTTAAAGGTTCGACTCATCACTGGATTTCCCAGAATCCGCATGCAGTTCCTAGGATAACTTCAGTCGCAGATGATGGCTGATAATTTCTTCCAAAGTGCAGAACAAACTTAGATTAAACGTGCCAGAGTATGACTTGTAAAGTCTGGCCCCGCCTTTTATACAAATGTTTGTGTTAGACGCTACCAACTTCATTTAACGCCTTTCTCTGGATACACAATGAAACGCCAGTTGTTAATGCTTCTTATTTAGAACTCAGACACGGTTTCACTCACTTGACGAACCAAACTCTATTGACCTGCATCTTGGATAACTTCCTAATTTAACCTTCTTCCAGTGGAATACCTAAATTGGCGATCATTAGTTTAATTAGTTTTTCTAATTGGTTGCCTGGATTTGTACTCTGTCATTCACTAAATCGTCATTTCCATCCGTCGACCTGACTGTCCAACAAGCCTGTCAGGCACTGAGTGTCATTCGAATAAATTTTCGATCATAAAGATTCCCCTGTCAGCTAATTTGTAACTTAACGTTCTCGATGATGTTCGTCGGTGCTGTTGCAACTGCACACGCTAAAACTAGATGGGGTTCACTATCTTACCTTGTACATATCTGTAGAGGAAAAGTACTCATTCGGATAACGTCTGAAAGAAAGTAATTTCACCTCCTGACAGGTGTCACTGCTGTTAATTCTGTCAATGCATCCTGACTTCCCCTGGTCTGTCGCACACTGCTTGTTGCCTAGTTTCTTCTTGGGAAGGTCCTTTTAAAGATATAAACAAAAGATTTTCTATGGCAACCCTTTCCACAGACGGAGGGGATTTCATCTTCTGTCTGCAGGCTCACCTACTGTCAGCTTTTAGTATTCCGTAAGAGAATTAATGCCTGGAGGTATGGTTAAGTCGGCGAAAGAGGTACTAACTCTTGTTCGCTCCATTTTAACCAGTGACGTTGTCCTCTTAGTTTTGACTTTGACGGCGTCTGAGTCAAGTTGGTTCGCTGTCCTACAGGTTGGTAGGCTGTCATATTTAGTTGTCAATCACACTCTCTTTTGGAGCTGCACACAGTGTGCACATCTTCGAATTGTAATCACGTATGGGACAAAATCCGGCAGAGAGCTATCATTCTACTTAATACGCTAGTGGTCGAACTTCCTTCTCCTCCGCTTCCGAATTTACTTTTCATAGGCCTCCAAGCTGAAGAAACTCAACTTTGCCTACAACGGTCTTGGTCCCATAAATGGTTGCAAGGAGTTAACCATTGGAATCAAATCCAATTTAATACTCGAAGAGCTGGATCTAAGGTATGCGTTTTTTTTTCTGGGCGAAGCCAACCGCCATAAACCCAGAAACTATTTTGATTGCATCAAGTAAATTAGGCCATGAAGCTATCAGGGTTTGTGAGTGTGATCCCAGAAAGACGATTGGCTTGTTACTAACCTGTAACTAGCGCATGTATGGTTGTTGCTTATTTCGCTTCAGTAGGCTGAATTAACTAGGCTCACCGTCTTGAGGGTTTTGAGTCTGAACAACTGCACGCTAACATCCCAATTATACATGCACCCAATGTTAGGTGTGTCGTTTCAACCAGCGGCTTCCTGTTGGCTGACGTCCACATACCCTTAACAGTACAGTTCATACCAACCTTCAGTCGTATCAGCGGCTTTGAGGCATGCCATACACTGGCCAAACGATTGTGGGTCGACACGCTATCCGGTGACTTTACTACCTTCCCACGTTCGGAGTGGCCTACTTACTAACCTGTACTTATATCGGTGGTTTTGGCATTTGACATGTAGTGGAGGACTGATTTCTGATCGCCGTGCTTTCATTCCTATTGCCACCTTCCCATGTTTGTGGTGTTGCTCTTAGTAACTTATGGTCATATTAGCAGCATTCACCGAGAGAGTTCCAATAAATGCATGATCATATCGGTAGTTAAGGTCCTTGTCGTCTCTCTTTGTGGCAAATTGTAGTACTGCTTACTCGAGCGTGCCAGTCCCGCGGTTATTTGTTGAGAAAAACTGCTCAGTTGTGTGCTGGCAGATTTAAACAATTTAGCTGAATACTAAATTTTGAAAATCTCAGCAGCGTAGCTCAGCCGGCTAGTATTGGCTATACTCAAGACCTGCCCTTGTTTTCGTTGGTTCGAGTCCCATCGAGGCCGCTGACATTTCGATAACTGAATATTAAGTCAAGAAGAGTCGGTTGCTTAAACAGAGTATATCTAATTGGTGTGGAGTTTGGGAACTAGAATACGGCCACCAATCTGGTCGATTTGCTTTATAAGCCGCAAGCACTCACGTTGGGGAGCTTAAAAACCACTGAAACACGAAATTTGCGCTTTTGTGAGATTTGAGTGACTGACCTCCGCCATTTTAGCCCTCCTCCCCCCCAAAAAATAACTTTATATCCACCATTTTAATATTACAAATGACGTAGAGGACATTCGTAGGGGAGGAGGCCGCAATAAGCCAGTCTAGTCCAAAAACATGGGTTCCATATTCATCCTTTCCCCAATTGGCCGCGTATGTTGTCTCACATTCAAACGTCTCCCTATCCTCCTCCAGTCATAATCTGTTCGGCCAAAAGCGAGCATCTTACTCGTTATTCTGCAAGGTACAGCGCATGCCGTAAACAACCGCATCATAAGAATTAGCCTATTTTGAGCTCAAGCCCTCTCGCGAAAAGTCATAGTAAAAACGAAAGGAAGTGTGCTACGTGATGACATTTAATCATCTTGTCATCCCAAGCATGGACTGTATTTTATAAGCCCTAACGTAAGGGTTGGAAGGAAGGGGAAATCTTAATCGAAACTATAGAGGCAATAAGTGTGTGAGTTTTATATGCGATCTGGGTTCTCTAAAGGCATATGGGTCGCTCGGAATCAGAGACTGATGAGTCCACTGTGGAGCCAGTTTTACTAGAAGGGGAGCGGCGGAAGTCACTGTTGTGTGGGTTATTTTGTATCCGCGTGCTCTCGTGGGCCCGTACTGTTCGTTACTTTGTGGCTACTGGGGAACTCACAGATGGCTGACGGGTTGACCGTTCCACGGGGTGAGGATCGCGCGCGGCCCCCATCGAAGGTTGTCCATTTCAGTTCCGTTTATTTGAGGAAACTGTAGATGTTTCACCTTTGAATTCCCTATTCGAAACAAGCAACGGGAGTATATTAAAAAGTTGGAAACGGAAACATCAAACAGCTACAAAAGATTTGGCGAAACTGTACAGATAAACGATTTATTCCGAGTCTTGGAAACAGTGGCACTACTAAGTACGTCGCACAGTAGTTAGTCTATGCATAATTGTGCTACAGAAAAAGTAGTACGATTTCAATTATCTACAGGTGCCAAGGTGAATGCCAGCATGTGCTTTCAGTAAGTTTGGCATTACAATAAAATGAATAAAACAAAAACGTTACTGAAATATAAGCAGTAATAAATTGTTAACACAGAACGTCAAAATGGTATCCGTCAGGTGGCATTATGGTGTAATGGTAAACTGTTCAAGCTTCCGTTTAAAAACCTCGACGGATGTGGACATAACGATATCTGCAGCCAGACCATTCCAAACTTCAACCACGCTGTTGAAGAAGAAGAAGAAGAAGAAGAACTTCCGTGTGTCCAGCCTGGCGTCAGTCACACATATGCGGTTTGAATGGATGACCTCGCAGTTTCTTTGTGGTTGCTAACTTCTAGAAGTCTCCGGGTACAAGACAGCAGTCCTAACCGCGCATGATGTTAATGTTTGTATTAGGTCGCCTCTTGGCTGTCTATAACTCGAAGGAATAGCGGACTCGTACTGTGGCCGCACAAACATTCAAAAGGCTTTGGAGGGCAGTATTAATCGGAGATTAAGAAGGCCCGCTTGACATAGTACAGGGCTGACATCGCGGACTTGACTGCTTTTGAACAGTGTAGCGACGGTTTAAGTGAAGTCGTAATCCACACACACAAGTCCTTGTGGACGTCTACTTCCTGTGGTGGCAAACCATTTGGGTGGTAAACCCTGCAGTTCAAAGATCGGATTCCGCCGACGCGCAGAATCTTGCGCTTAGTCACATTAAGTGACAAAAGCCAGTCCTGTGACCATTTCTCGAGCTGGTTCAAGTTTACCTGTAAATACTCCTCCCAAAATTTAGTTTGGAAGACGCTCCAAAGCTTGGCATCATTGGCAAACATGGCGACGTCACAATCCAGTTTACCGGCGTAGTCGTTGACGTATATAATGAACAGTGTGGGAGCAGAAACAGAACATTGAGGAACATCGCTTTCAACCAGTACCTCCATCGACTGCCTGCCACCGGCATGGACAACTTGAGAACCGCCGATTAAGAGGCTTCGAATCCGCCCCATGAGATTACCGCTAATGTTCCTGGCATGTGTTCATAGGTCAAGACCATGACCACGCTGCAAGACAAATGTACCTGAAAATCGCACCTTTACTAATGATTAAACTCAGAGTTAACGGCCGACATCATGAGACTTAAAACAATAAAACTTCAGTTGGTAAACTAAAATGGGACATATGTTCTTCCATCATTTGTGCGTTCTTGAAGTTCCACATTTAATGGAGTGATTTTCGACGTATACCTTCGCGAAATTTCAAGCCGAGTATCTGCTACCAATGTCGAGACGTGAAATACATTGACTTTCGAGTATAAGAGGATCATCTCGCATTGCCCTGCGATAACTCCATTTGATAGCGTGTTTGAATTGGGTGCAAGGGATTATTAAATAGCTTCCCCAGCGGTAGGAACATGAGCATTGGCCTGTACACAAAAGATACTGTTGGCAGTCTGTCACTCAGTAGGCCTTTATCGTCTTACTGTAGAAAATTGGCAGGCACGCCATTCTCTTCTGTGTTTTCGCAGTCTTCTATCCGGCCGTTTATCCTTCGGTTGGTCATCACCATATTCATGTCTACTTTAATGGTAACCGCATAGTCGGTACCTGTTCGGACAACGCCAATGTATAGGCGTAGAGTCGGTCCACAAACGTGCGTCGCCTGCCCTTAGCAGCAACGCAAGACAATCGCAGGCGTTTAGTTCGTAAGAGAGACTCGTTTTGGAGTCACTCTGCTCAGATCGACCCTACACCGCGTTAAATGCTTCTCCTAGTGGACCTGACTTCGTGTCTTTCTGCTTCTTTTGTGACTCGAAATCCTGGGTCGTCAAGTAACAATCACGAAGGGATAGAACCATGCGCTAAGAAGACTTCTGCCTATAACTCCTCCTTACATTCTATTTTCAATATTATACCAAGTTACACACATTATATGACGCGTGGTTATGTAAAGGTCACACAAGTTAGGCAGATGAGCTTTGATATTACCTATTTAACTAAATTACTACAGGCGAGATCTCATTTCGTAGCCGTACCTATAGGGGTTAGGAGTTGAAGTTAGGGGTTAGGGTTAGGGGTTCGGGATTAGGGATCGGGGTCAGGAGTTAGGGTTAGGGGTCAGGCTGAGGCTTGTTTACTGCAGGTACGGCTACGAGGTAAGATCCGACCTTACTACATATTCCGATATGCAACCTGCTGATTTCCTTACTATCATATGACCCATGCAATATTTCACAATACCTACCGGTTCATAGAGCCGAAGTCGTCTATTTATGGGAATATATCTGAAAAGGTTACATATTTGTCTAACCGCCGTCTTATGAATTTTCGGACAATTCTTACTTGTGACTTTTTAAGGGCCTCTCAGTCTTTACGTGTCGAAATTGATGCATCACCACATTTTACACCACCAGTTTTCCGTCAGTGTTAGATACAACCTAAAAGTCTCAGGCGTAAAGTCATGAATGCCTCGTCTGAATTCGTTCCTCGTCATAATATCCAACTTTTGGAATATCCATATTAAAAAAGCAAGGACTCGTACTTACAACGGAAAGCACTTATCTACCTTCCCATGTCTCGGACTTCAAACTGATAATTTTCTCGGGAAACTTGGTGAATGATCTCACATCTCCGTTTTCTCTTGTCCTACCCCCATTAAATTGGACCCGACTTTCATTCGGAAATTTTAAAAGGACATCTTAGCTGTATATGTAGTCTTAAAGGATGAGAAGACTGCTCCTCTCACCTTCAAAACCGTTGGTTGACAATTTACCATGCTCAGAACGTGGGGTAGACGCATTTTCATTCGTTACTTCCTTTTCGCCCGAGCTTACCAGGAAATTATTCGTATGTTATTTATTTCACTCGCTTAGCAAAAGCTTCAAAACGGTGAACTTGTTCTGTCATCTGCTTTCAGTGACAATAGAATCTCCCCGGAAGGTGCGGTTCTCCTTGGTAAGGGCCTCCAGGTCAACGCATCCCTCAAAACTCTGAAGGCAGGTGTCTATAGCTACTGATATAGTTTAGTAGATCTTATCTTTTCATCTATTTTACTCATATCATGCCTAAGGTCAGCCAGATACACGCACAATCCACCCGTGTTTGACACTGGAAGACCGCCTTTACTGAAGCCAAGAACACATTAAAAGTGTAGAACTTCTGCAAGCCAGGCTTGGAAGTACTGTAGTGGACAAGGCTTTGGGAACCTGGCTTTTCTTATTCCCTAGCTTTCAGCCTGTTCGTAACTGAAAATTTAGGTCCCTGCGACAGACCTCGGCAATTACCTTGGCCAAAACTAAACACGAAGTTCATCCTTTATTGAACTAATCTTTTTAACATCTTTATTTATGGGCCTCTACAATTACAATGGTCCTTTTTGATTTTTGGAGATCAACGACCTCTGATTCTTACTGCTGCCGTTGAGATGAGTGGGCTTTTTCGTATTCGTTCAGGTAAATGTTAATGAACGGGGGTTAGTGTACACTTAACCACAATCGCACTGATAGATATCCGTCTGTATCATTATCACTTGGTTAGATGCACCTGGGGCACTTCGACTATAATTTTTCCTGGTAAAACGAAACAGTCGACAAAGACTGTGGCCTGGAAGCTGGAGGACAAATTACCGAAGCTAGAAGAACATGGGATGGAAACATATTCTTATTTTTGGTAGCTTATGTTTATTCAGAAGAATCAGAGTCAACCCTGATTCACTGAAGACTTTATGCTTGCAGAAAAGTAGTCTCGAATGCGACTACCCTTGGTTGCTGTTCTCTGGTGACGTCCGACCTGCCTTTGCACTTTTACTGTTATAAACGGTCACAAAATAAAGCTTCTTCGTATTTTTGGGTACAGCTCGTCAGGTCTCTTCTAAAAATTGCATCTGAAGTATGTTGTTTGATATGGCCTGGAATAAGACCGTTTGGAGACAAGGAGATTTTAAAAAACTAATTTTCTTACTGGAAGGCGCGTGACGCTCTGCTTGAAGGCTCTATTTTTCTAGCTTACCTGTGAAAAGGGTTTGATTACACAAGGCTATCATTACGTTCCTAGTCGTCAAACCGTCTGGGTTTGTGACGGATGTTGTTCAGCATATAAGAGTCACCTCCCCCGACGAACGACGTGACCGAATTCCTTTCTTTCACAGATGGATCGAAATCCCCTGCAGTCTGCTGGTTGCTATGTCATTCTTAACTTCATCATTAAGAATCCCAACAAGACTTTGAAAGTACTGACCTTTGAGGTAAGTATTTACGCATACGTATTATGCATCCTTTTCAGTTTTCACCTGCATTGCTATGTTTTAAGTCCGCTTTTATCCATGTATCATTGTTATTCGGATGCTCCAGATATGCAGTTTCAATGCATCTCCGCTAGTTGGCGCAACATTAAGAACCAATCAATTTTTTTTAAATTAACGCTATATAAATTAGTTTGGTTGTCCTGTTCCAAGTGAGTGCAAATCTACTGTCAACTCAGGCTACTTTTTGAAACTCCCTATATTGAATATTTTTCGGCAATTATTACATGTTACTCCCACTCCTTCCCACCCCAGATCGTTTAACTAAAGGATGCTTCCTGGCTCAGGTTCATTAGCCTTCAGTAATTACAAAGCGTAAAGCTGTCCACCCTATACTGTTTAAATCGATCATTTCTCGGGTATTCGTTTTCTCCGGCCAAAGTAGGTTTTCGGTAACATTAAAATGTCTTTTTATCACCAGAGCACCTGGGAAGTAGGGAACATGCATAACTATGAACTATCTGTCGTGAGATGGACTCGAAATGCCGACTCCTGAATTAGCTACGAGCAGTCTATCTACTCAGAAACCACAGACACCTGATCCCTATAAGAAGTGGTCGATGTTCCCCTTTTTATGATTTACAAAATAAACTCATTGTTAGGCTGAACGACTGTTCTGTTGGAATTGTAATGCAAACTTCCCATACACAGAAGACTGACGGAAGTATCTGATAATGCAAATGACCCTTAATATGGTAATTTATACTAACTGGGACACTTAATATGAGGGCCAACTTTAGAAAGCGAGGAATCCAAAAACAGAAAATGTCTGCTGTGGTACGGATTCGAACTGCAGCTTAGCCCTTTCCCAGAATATTCGTCTAGACTTTAAGAATAGGCTCATCTTGAGAGCCACGGAGAACAACTTGTTAATTATTTCGCCCATCTGATAGGGTTTTCAAAGGCATTGCCTATGACCCTTAAAAATATACTGACATAGTAGTGACCGTTCAAGCGTAGAGCACCCCAAAACAACTTTAGAGAACCAGTTGTCCGATTCCGAGTCGCAGCGAACATTTCATAAATGTGCAAGTTAATTTGTTCGCATTATCTGTCTAGATGAAAAAAGTATTCTTGTTCATAAATTTTCAGACTACCTAGAGTACCAAATGCATTTTAGGACTGCGTAACTTTAATAGTAATTATGTGGGAGGAGCTACCAGCTACTTCATTTGAAGTTAGCTGCAGGAGGAGGGTACATGGGCCATAACACATGGGCCATTTACACATTTTCCTACGCAAACAGAACATTTAAAAAGTACTCACTGGCTACAGATAAAAGAGCCCAATATGCCGGACATTACTTAGGTATCATCAGAACGTGACTTTGCTGGTGAAGGAAAAAGAAGACAGATATTCTGTTAGCTGACCGAATTCATGACTGTCCGTGGACTCTCCTCGTTTTATTTTGACCACGTCATCCGCGCAACACTCCCTGAGCAACGGTAGTCAATGGTTTTCAGTTTGTCTCCCCTTTCATGTTCTGTGGTACTAAGCGCAGGTGTGCACGAAACCCCAATATTTCAAGACGAAATTAACGAACTCGCGTTGGTAATTAGTGTTAATAATTATTGATTCAGCAGCGGTCCCCGTAAATGAACTGGTGGGGGACCGCCGCTTCCTCCGAGGAGCGGTGGTGACTTACGCGCGCTTTCGGTTTCTCTCTCTCTCGATCATTATCTCCTCTCCCTCCACACCCATCAGGCGCTAGTGAAGCAAGGTTAAAACAACCTGAGGGAGGTCTAACGACTTGACGTCAGAATTCCACTTACTCGTGCCAGGTACGCGCTGACCTCCCAACTCACGCGAACCAGAAGTAGTTCACCCGGATATTGTATCCGTGACAATTTCCACAAAAAATGAACGAATAAGCGGACATTGCAGCCTGGCTGTCAGTCTCGAGGATCGACTTAACTCGCCAGTTGGCAGCATTCTAAGTCCTGACCCTGATAGCTCGAAGGCGTGTCGTAAAGGTCATACTGGACAGGTCTCACCCATCCCTCGTCATGTATCAGTAACGTGCAGCATACGTGTTTGACTCCATTTTACTTCTAACTCTATTCCTCCCTGTCCACGCTGGAGACCCACTAAATTCTAAATTCTACCACCACGGGACCGTCAAATAAAGGAACCCACTTTGGCAGTGATGGGTCCCTTTTGTTCAGGGTGTGGGTTGGCATGTCGCAGCAGCTTAAGCCCCTACGACCTGCAGGCTCGGCCCCGAAAAGAAAGAGCAGGAGTCGAACGTCACCTGCGAGGATAGTGTATTCTGTACAGAACAACTGGAGAGGGGGCTGGAAAGAGTTGGCAGCCAGACATGAACATGCCCGACGCCGGGAGAGCGGCATCCCGAGTGTGAGCGACGTATGCGTCACAGCGTCGTAAGCGAGAGCACGTTTACTTCGGCCTTAAAAATGATTGGCCAGCTGGAAAGCTGTGAGCCGGCTAAAATCAAGCTGTTGCTGCACATGCAAGCGCACGTGTGAAGGGCGCAGCGTTGCAACAGACGCCCGGGGATGGGGGCGCTACAGACACACAGTTCAATTCAGAGTGGACAAGCTCACTCGGCAGAAATTTTCTGCCCAAAAAGTTTCCCATTGCGTGCTCGTGGAAACCCCATTTGAACGAGTTAAGACCTTTCCCCTCTAACTGAGCTATAGCGATACATCAGCTGGCTTCATTTAGCTTTTTACAGTCCAATCACAGACCACTTTTATATTTTAAGTTCTTTGCCACATCCTAGCGGATTTGCCATCTTCCAGTGCTCCTCTTCTCTCTGTCCAGGACATTGAAGTCAATGAAAGCTTCAGACTGCTCGAGGGCCAAGCCCTCACTGCGCTGCCAGATCTTACCATCGTTTACGGTCCCAAGAGTAGGAACAAGGAACTTTCGTGGTACTCTCTCTCATTCTACGTGCGGGATCCGTCTGAGCCGCGAAAATACACGACGGTGATAAAAAAAATTGGCCGCATGTTCCATAAGGATTTCAAGCCCTTCCTCTTGCGAGCTGACGAGGACAATGACATGAAGCTCTCTCGTCCAGAATTCACGCA